GACAGAAGTTACGTTTTGCTAAGGCCTTAATTATTTTAAATCTATCCAGTAGCATAATCGTACGTAGTCATTACTAGATATGCATTTAATAATGTTTTAATGCTTAAGAAATAAGTTATTTTGATATCGTATATGGTTTTTAGATTCAGTCATAATTAAGTTGAGCTACGATGACTCGTTCTATAACTTCTTTAAGCCTTTAATTTAATTATTTCATACTATACTAGGCCTGCATCATACTCCACGGGCAAACTAGCATTATCTGAGTCTTGTATGTTTTCAGCCCCACATTCCTATGAAACCCTCGTTGTCAGAACTACTTTGCACACAAAAAGCAAAATAGATCATTGTGGTACAAGTACCACAGTTATATTCTCAGTGAGACAAATAAATGTTATACAATTTATAATTTAATTCTAAATATTTATAAACATGCTTTTCAGAATTATTATATTTATATAATATATTTTACACTTATTAAAATTCATGATTTTTTGATTTAGCGAAACAAATTCTAGAACAGATTTTGTTTTATTATGTAAATAGCATAATAAAGCGTCGAACAAAGGGTGTTTTTGCTTTCTCTCCTCATTCAATCAGCTGATTGACTGATCTAGGCCGGCTCAATCAGCCAATCAGATACAAGTTTTTTGTTTCATAGGCTGGGCTTCTCTTATATAGAGGAGGCTTACACTACTCGTCGCTTTGTGTGGTTTCGACTAATTCCTTTGTGCATCATCTACTCTCTATGCTTGCAGCTGCCCCCCGTAACGTAATGCGTCTCATAAGCAATGGCACAAATGAGTTGCCCAAAGCAGTACGTGTTACTTCCAAGTCGGCCAGGAGACGAAGCAAGGCGAAGAAGGCAGTTCACGTTCACCAAGCAACTGAGCCAACAACTCTTTGTGCTAAATATGATCTATCTAACGGCTCATTTCCCATTAAAATGACATCATTGCCGGTGGGAGGGGAGAATGAACATTGTCAATTTCTACAAGGTAGCGAATTCTTCGCCATTGATCCTCTCCGTGTACTTTCTGTTGAGCGGCCGATGGTAATGGTTTTTGTTATCTAATTCAATTTGTAGCTTTCGGACGTTAACGCAAGCCGACTATTCACACTTCTAAACCTAGAGAGACATTTCCACGTAAATATAGCTCACCTAAACTTTGTAAATTCGGTAGGTTATATATTTCCTCTAATTTCTTTAGCAAATCGAAGATAAAATTGATTCACAAATGCGCTTCCACACACTGTCTCAGTTACGAGCATTTCATCTAGCATATTACGATCTATTGCCTATCACCTTCTGCAAAACCGTAACTCTATTGGACTCATTTGTAGCAAAGGTGAAGGTAAAGCCTGTCTTCGCGCTCTGTGTGACCGCCGCTTG